AAAAAAAAAAAAAAAAGAGTGCGAGGATTACAGGTGTCAGCCATCACGCCCAGTCAGGACAGGGCATTTCATTCCTTTGCTCAAAAACCTTCCACAATTCCCATTTTGGAACCTGGTGACTTCACACAGCTTGACCTCCCTGACTTGTCTTCCGGCTGGCCTGAAGGACTCAAGGACTCAAGCCCTAGGACTCAAGGCTGACATTGCTTTTGTAAAAGGAAAGTCTCAGGGCCACCTTCCTTATGCAAAAGAAATTCAGAGCCTCAGGCACCTAGGAGAGCAGGCCCCAAAGATCATTCATTAAGGATATTTCTTGCTAACCTCCCATAAACCAGGACAGCAAGTTATACCTATGTTTAAAACCTAAAACTAAAGCCTGTCTGATTCCAGATTAATAATGAATTAGATGTTTATCTTACAATAGAACTGAACACAAGGCAGAATCAGGCATTCTTCCACTGACCCAGGGACATCTACATAACTGATGCTTCCTTCAATTCCTTATTTTAGGTAAAATGTAGATTTCTTGAGCCTCACAAGAACGTAGCCACTACCTCATCTGCCCCTCTACCCCCTGCCTTTATCCTTCTCTCTGTTGCCTTTAAAATGCTGAGGTTCCAACCTCCACAGCTTGTCTGTGGCTCCTTTTTTTCCTGGATGCATCATCAAAATCTTGTATTAATAAACTTTCATTGATTGAGAGTTTTGCCTCAGTTATTTATTTGGGTAGATACGTTAAACTAGACATCCCAGCTTTGGAAGAGCGGAGACCCAGTTAGCAAAAGACCAGGCCACGCCCTTCTTGCAGACCCGACTTCCCCTTTAAGAGGATCTCCTGCACGCCCATCTCCACCTTCCTTGAGCTAAACTAACAACAGCTTACAATTGCCAGGGTTCAGGAGTTTTTCCTTCCATGTCTGAGAACCTGCTACTGGCCTTTAATAAGCCCATCTCCTTTTAGGTGAAGAAAAAAATTAACAGCACCCACAAGCAAAGCCTGCCTCCTCCCTTTTAATGCGGCCTCTTGCCCTTTAAGAGGGCGGAGCCAGCTCGGGGAACAAAAGTCGGAGGTGAAATAGCTACGCCCCTTTAAGCCATGTCTTCCGGTTTCACGCTCCTAAACGTCTCCGCCCTCCGGTTCCTCCCCCACCCCCACCCCTCCGGTCTCTCACCTGCGGCCCCAATCGGGGGAACGAGGAGGTAAGCCCCTGGACCTTCCCGCGGGGGCCGACGGGAAGGTGGGACCTCGGCAGCGGCGGTGCAAGAGCGGGGGCCGGGGAGGGGGGGCGGGGGCGCGCTCCCTCCCAACGGCCCCCGGCGCGAGGCACCCAACCTTTATCGGCGGCCTCTCGCGCACACAAACCCCGACGTCGCCGTTGGCGCGTCGCGACGCACGTGAGCCGAGTCTCCACCCCCGGCTCCTCCCATTGGCTGCGGAGGCCTCGGAGCGCTATTGCGCTGAGGCGCGGGGCATGCTGGGAGTGGTAGTTCTCCCGTCGTTTCGCTACAGAATCCCGGTTCAGGCGGGGTGGAGAGGTGGGGTCGCTGGTTATCCGTCTTGATTTCCTTTCATCTGAAGAAAAGCCTTTCCCGGGCATTGCGGGCTAGGGTGTAGGCGCTCCTGAGGGAAAACTGAGGCCTAAATCTCCTCCCACCCAGCCCCCAAGCCCGCGGCTCAGGGTTCTCGGGAGCCTGCCGCGCGCACGCGAGTGTGGACGCTGCGGGAACCTGGCGTGCTCCGTGCGGGGGTAGCCGAGGCTCCTTACCTGGCCTAAAGTCCTAGGGGTAGACGCGGCTGCCCCAGGTCTCTTTCCATGCTTGCCCACGCCTCTGCATTCCTCACACACCAACTTTCTGCGGTGCGTCCCGGCAGAAGACAGGTCACTGTTCCGTGGGGGATGCCCTGTGCATCGCACGGTGGCCAGCAGCACACCCTCTAGTTGCCAGTAGCATCACACACTCTCCTCTTGATAGCCCAGAGTATCTCCAGATATTTCCAAATGTCCACGGGTGCAAAGCCGCTGGCAGGGCAGTCCCCTCCGCCTAAAGGCTGTTCTGCATGCTGTTTCACAGACCCTAAGACTATTCTCCCCCTAACCTGTCCCTCCCTGCCCAGCTTCTCTTGGAAAGCCTCCGTTGTTGAGTCCCCCTTACGTGCTCAGGGGCATTTTTCTGGGTTCTGTGACAGTGTGGATCCAGTCTTTGCCACCCAAGTGTCCCAAACAATCATCACGGGCCCTGAGCAAGAAGCAGATGGTACTCATTTGTTGAATAAGTGAATTTTTACAAATTCCCAGTTTCTCAAATCCCCCAACCAGGCTGGAACTCCGGGCTAATCTGAGCTGACTTGTACCCATCCCTGCTGAGCAGGATCTC